CATGAATATGGCTAATGTTGATGCTTTAAGCAGTAGGTACTCATCTCATACTGGCTTACCTTCCCTATTACATGGTGAAGAGAGAAAAAGAAAAGGATAAACAGTTGACTTTGAGTTGGATAATCAAGGATACATGAAATAGAGTTACACTCTCAGAAACGAAGCTGTCACCCCAATAGGGAACACTCACAACTTTCACTAGCATTTTTATAGCTAAGATCAAAATTTTAGGACAAAACGTTCTTAAATGAATGCTTATGGAACGTTCTTAGAACATTATTCATATTTGATATATGTTCTTATAACACTGAGAGAAAACGTTCTAGATCAACATTCTCCGATGTCCTTATGATGTTGTTTGTACTTGATGAACATTCTCATAATGTTGAGAGAAAACGTTCTTAGGATATAAAAAAAATTTATTTGGGTGAAAATCAAATCAAATTAGTTGAAAGTTTTAGGAACCTTTAAATAGTGTTCCAATCACAATCACAAAACTGGACATTTTAATGTTCTAACAACGTTAAAAATAATATTTTGGGTGGAAAAGTTAGAGCATTGTAAGAAACGTTTTTGTAACCTTTAAATAACGTTAAAATCACAACAAGTAAACTGGACACGTCAATGTTTTAGAAACATTTCAACACAATGTTTTTAAACCTAAATTTGTTCTCTACACTGTAAAAAATGACCGTGAATTTAACGGTAAAAGACTGAAATCCTCTTTAAACTTCTGCTAGTGACCCTGATCCCAGAGAGCAATAATCTTTATGTTCAACATTGTTGGACAATAACAAGGATTCGTATTCACTACCGTGTTTAACAAGATTTGAAAAAGCAGCATCGCTGTCCTGAAGACAATCCACCGTGATAAATCACACTATAAAACATGTGATTAATGAGTGCAGGAGGCTATTTTTGCTTGTAATAAACTACGGTTTGGAACAGCTGCTCCACACTTTTCCAAACAATGAACTGTGCTGATCTCATCCAGGCCTGCCATTCATTCTCTGTGTAAACCAAGAGCGTGTGTGTCCTTGGCATCTATTTTTAAAGCACATTGTCTGTGCAGGACATTGTTCCACAGCTTCTAATGACGCTAAAGACCCGACTAGATTTAATTCAACTCGTTATGATTATAAAGTCGTCCCAAAACGTAAAAAATCCTCTCAAAAATTGCTTGTAAATTTCACAAAGAATTACAAAGAAATGACCAGTTTCGCATTAAATTAAACATGAACCTTTGAAGCAGAAAGACTGAAATAGTCTAGTATTTCTTGCAAAATATACTGCAATAATCATCGTTTTATTTACATTGTATAGACCTAAGTCACAATTAAAAATAGGCTACGTGAATGTCATTGTATTAGGCAACAAAATATCAAGTAATATAGCACAAGCACGCTTTTTAAGCAAAACATTTAATAAATTAAGTTTTTATGATTTTTATTTTTTAAACAAAATTTATTTTTATAAGAAAGTAAAGGTGGTTCACAATTGAGACCAAAAAACGGAACATGCACCGTAAACATTTTTCTTCTAGTTGGAAATAAAACATGACTGTTAATTTTACAAGAAAATACCATTTCAGCCATTCTACTTTAAAATTTCATGTTAATTCAATGTTACTTTATTTCTTTGTAACTTATATTTAAGTGAAAATTGTTTCTACACCTTTTTTTACAACTATTTTATTTTGTAATTTTTTTTTAGTGTTGGTAGTTAACTTAATGAATGACACCTTTATGATAAATCACACTATAAAACATGTGATTAATGAGTGCAGGAGGCTATTTTTGCTTGTAATAAACTACGGTTTGGAACAGCTGCTCCACACTTTTCCAAACAATGAACTTGGCTGATCTCATCCAGGCCTGCCATTCATTCTCTGTGTAAACCAAGAGCGCGTGTGTCCTTGGCATCTATTTTTAAAGCACATTGTCTGTGCAGGACATTGTTCCACAGCTTCTAATGACGCTAAAGACCCGTCTAGATTTAATTCAACTCGTTATGATTATAAAGTCGTCCCAAAACGTAAAAAATCCACTCAAAATTTGCTTGTAAATTTCACAAAGAATTACAAAGAAATGACCAGTTTCGCATTCAATTAAACATGAACCTTTGAAGCAGAAAGACTGAAATAGTCTAGTATTTCTTGCAAAATATACTGCAATAATCATCGTTTTATTTACATTGTATAGACCTAAGTCACAATTAAAAATAGGCTACGTGAATGTCATTGTATTAGGCAACAAAATATCAAGTAATATAGCACAAGCACGCTTTTCAAGCAAAACATTTAATAAATTAAGTTTTTATGATTTTTATTTTTTAAACAAAATTTATTTTTATAAGAAAGTAAAGGTGGTTCACAATTGAGACAAAAAAACTGAACATGCACCGTAAACATTTTTCTTCTAGTTGGAAATTTAAACATGACTGTTAATTTTACAAGAAAATACCATTTCAGCCATTCTACTTTAAATTCTTTGTAACTTATATTTAAGTGAAAATTGTTTCTACACCTTTTTTTTACAACTATTTTATTTTGTAATTTTTTTTTTGTGTTGGTAGTTAACTTAATGAATGACACCTTTAAGGAGAATTGACCTCCTAAAAATCACCAAAACACAAGCTGATTGACAATAATTGCAAAAAAGCCTAAAAAGTTAATTTAGTTTTGCACCACTTGGTTTGATATTTGCTTTTAATGCAATGAAATCACACACTGTATAAATGATTTTTTTAAAGTTGTACATAAAGATTGACGTAGTACATTTTCAACTTTTAAAATGTTATATTTATTTCAGTGTTACTTTTAATTTCTTTGCATTTCTTTTGTGAAATTTACTAGCAATTTCTGAGTGAAATTTTTTTCAAAGTAAATCCTACACCATTTTTTTTTTCTTTCCAACATTTCCAAATGTCAGCAGGTCATCCACTTGAAACATGTTTTGTCGTCTTATTTTCACTCAATATTTGCAGCTCATCAGCTGTTGGGGTCTTCAGCCTATCTTGTCTGATGGCACTCAAACTAATGGCTCTTGCAAAGAGATCATCTTGGATAAAGGTTGATTTTGAATTCGTGATAATGAGAGCAGGCAGCAGCAGCCAGAGGCCTGAGCGCAGCGTCTCTGACCAAATCTTTGCAGCAGATTATCCGTCTCACTTTGGAGCTACGTGTGTTTTACGTTAATAAGCCAGGGCCGGTCGTACTCCATCTGAAAGGCTGGATTACACAGGCTGACAGTGGCAGGAATGTTGCCATCGATAGTCTGTATTAAGCAGCATTAAGGCAAATACCCCAAGCATGCAAACCAGCAGTCCCTCTGGCGAACAAGACGAGCATTGCATTGATGATTGCACAGACTACACCATGCAAAGGAATGAAGAGGGTGATCCTCAGACTTGATTCACACATTATGGGAAACTTGGGACAATTAGTTTAATCCGGTAGGCAAGCAATTGTTTGATTTTAGTTATGAAGAAACTGTCATTTGGATGCCATGACAAAATCTGAAACCTCTTACCTGAGATCTCACTAGGAAGAACGAGAGATGGGGTCTTATCTCGAGGGTCCGGGCAGCAGACAGTTTCAAACTAACCCAAAGATCACCTAATACAGACCTGCCAGATCATGTGACCCCACTGCTTTGCTCTGACTGGCTGCTGGAGCTGAGCCTATTGTCAGAGGGAGCGAAGCATTTCAGTAATGTGATATATGGCTGCTGGAGTATTGAGAAGCACACGGTCACAGGTGTTTTTCATTGGTCTCTTTATTGTGGTCACTGAGACAATGATACAAGTTGAAACATTTGCTCTGTATGGAACTATTGGCTACAAACGGTCATATTTGTAACAAGGTAATTTCAACTAAAGGTGGTGCGACTTGCATAGAGTTAGTCTGAAACAATACACAAGTGTTGAAACAAATAGTAAAAAACTTGATTGTCAAAAAATACAAGCAGAATACAGGATCTTTGAACATTTAGAGACATGAGCGATAAGCTATGGCGGCAGAACTGGATATTCTTTGTCTGACAAAAGAAGTCAGAAATGATACACGTTTAAATGACAGCATTACGAACGTTCTGCCAACTAGCGCTGTATTGAAAGCCGACGACATCTGTGTTGCAATTTCGTATGAATGATTGCAACAGAAAGAAGAAAAATGAAACACTTGAACAATAAACATGAATAGGCTTTGTCCTTCTCGCTGTCCTTGCTGGATATTTTTGGATTAACCAAGGTCTTGAATTATATGCAAAATCTGTGAAATGTACTCATCAAATATGTGATTTAAGCCAAAAAGTGCACATTCCCTTTCTTTCGAGTTCAACAGTTTCACTTTTTTTTTTAACCAATACCGATTATTCCACATGATTAACACTTACAAAAAGTTGGTCACAGACAACTTCAGACCAGTGTTTCCAGAAGTAAAAAGGCCAAAGATAATGTAATAATGCTAACGGTATGACTTAATGGACTTCTGCTGAATTAAAACTCGCTTTGATATAAAATAATATTGAGAGCAAAAGCAAAGACCATTTTTGTATCAAGCAGTAAAATATATAGTTAATTACAAAAACGTACACTATGTGCTAACATATATTATTAAGACAATTAAAAAAAAACAGTGTCGTTACGACAAAAGGTACAAAATACAGATAACATGAATGAAATGCAAGGTGAAGCTTTAAAGGCTTTAGCTATAAATTAACAGATGAGAAGGGTAACTAACATGTTTACAAAAATGTGATTTGACAAAAGACAATTCGGAATGCTACTCCTCGTCCTCTTTTTCAAGGGATCTCGTAATGTTTTGAGTTGGCTGCTGTTATATAATTATTATATAATCTAAACAAGTTAGTTGATCGCTTGTTTTCACAGCCTTGATTTCAGTTTAACAGAAGTTACATGCAAAGGCATTGCGTTTATGTTATGATGGTGCAAGACGGTGACCTGTGAATACAGTGATAAAATACATATATATTTTTTTATTTTTCTCGCTTTTATACTGTGTCTACTCGCATAGATCTTCCTGGCAGTATAAAATGCTTGTTTTTTTTTTTTTTTTGGTATTACTGAAAGTTTAAAAAAAGGAATGTTGTGCATTCTCTTGGTCCCTGCCTCTCTGGCGTCTTTGAAAGGTTAATGGCCCGTTCCTGTTAAAAGACAAAAGAGAAATTAAAATGTAATACTAACTGAACATGCACTATGCAGGATTATGCATGCATTAATAAATTAAAGATTGGAAATAAAAAGTTTGAATCCACAAAATAAGTGCTGTTCTTTTGAACATGTTCTTGATCAAAGAATCCTGAAAAAGTAGCACGGTTTCCACAAAAAATATTAAGCAGCAAACTGTTTTCAGCATTGATAATAATAATTAAAAAGTTTTTTGATCAGCATATCAGAATGAGTTCTTAAGGATCATGTGACACTGAAGACTGGAGTAATGATGCTGAAAATTCAGCTTTGCCATTACAGGAATAAATTACATTTTAATATATATATAAAAAATTAAACTGCATTTTTTTTTTTTTTTTAAACAATATTTCAGTTTTTGCTCCATTTTTTTGTTCAAATAAATGCAGCCTTTTCCAGAACCAGTGAAATAAGTAGATCTCTAGTCAAATGTTATCCAAATTTACAAAATATTAGGGAATGATTACCATACAAAATATGTTTAAACATCATTGTTGTCTGTTCTGTATGGGATCTGGGTCATATTTTGTCTCTTAGAAGGGTTAAATGGTGTGTGTTTGTTGCGCTGACTCGCATACTGTAAGTACGTTTTTTATATTTAAAGAATTTGCCACTGACGATTCAAACGCGAGTTTTTTGAGCAGTGTAGAGTAGGGCTTGTTGTTTGTCATTTCTCCAATCGTAAATGCAGACATGGTTTTATTTTTACGCGGCGTGATGCAACGCAGCGCGTAAAAAGACAGTATAAGTCATTATAATCCGTAATTATGTCTCCACTGGATGCAACAAATGCCTCGTTTGTAATGGGTTTTAATGTTTTTGTCTCATCGCTCCGGCCGGACAGGGCATCACAATATGGTAAGGGGTGTAACATTTCCGTCACACGCTTGAGGTATTCGGCCAATCACAACGCACTGGATAGCTGGCCAATCACAGCACACCTCGCTTTTCAGACCAATGAGCTTTGTAAAAATCAATGCATTTCAGAAAGGCGGGGCATAGAGGAGAAACAATAGTGTACAGTATGTGGAAAATAATGTGTTTTTTGAACCTTAAACCGCATAAACACATTGCATTACACCAAATACACAAAATAATGTTCTTTTTTAGCAGCATCATATGACCCTTTAAGCCAATTCATTTTTGAGACAATTAAAAATCTTTGTACACTTAGCTGTGTGTATTTGTGATCTACAACCTTTTATTTCTTGTGCTCCAGAGCTAAAAACAGCTCAAAGAATCTCTTAAATGTGTGGAGTCCGACCATTTTTAAGTGGTTGGAAGGATTTAAGTTTTCATGACATCTCTATACGGCATGCGGGCACGCTAATCTTCTACCGCCCCATGCAGTGATGTGACAAACATGCAGCTTTAAGCCCTGCTGGCACTGACAGACGCCCAGAATCCACGGCCTGATATTGAGACGAGCAGAGCTGGGTGGGGGAGTCGCCCATTACCCCAAAACCACTTGGCACGCCTGAAGGCCACCGTGTCCTCTTCTAGAGGAACAAATGGCCGGCATTCAAAATAGAAAACAATGCCAAAGAGGCATTTAAAACGCTGCAGCCGGTGAACGACATCCCTGCAGCGATGCTTTATCATTGGCAGGGATTTCTGGTCGAGGGATTGTGGGTGTTGTGCAATATGGCGGAAACTGCCCTTCACAGCAGGACTTCATTTTGACATCACTGATTTTGCTAAAGTGGAACTATTGCAAGTATAGTTCAGGTACACTTTAAACATCTTGCATTTAAAGACTGATATTATATATTTTATTGTACCTTCTGATCATGCTGCAAAAAAGTATTTCCTTTAATCTTGTTTGCAAACTGAATCTTAAATCAAGATACATTTACTTGATGAATAAAAACACACAAGAAGTCTTGTTTTACGATAAATTGATCAAAATGAAATGAGTTATAATTAAAAAAGAAAAAATATCTGCCAATGTGCTCAGAAAAATCAACTTGATTCGAACAAAGGGGAAACAAGTTTTCATAACCAGTCGACAGATGTTTCTTCTTGTTTTAACCATTAACTCACTTAATATTCTACAATATCTCAGAAAACAAGACTTCATATGTTCAATTTGCATCTAAATGTATCTTGACTTACGAATATTTAGATATTTGTATTGGAAAACAAAACAAAAATACTGAGAAAGATATAATTTTCTGCAGGGCATGCATGCATGCAACATTTAATGCCATGACTTTATACGAAATTAGGACTTTCCTTTTCAAGACTGTTTTAGGCCTTAATTTGTAGAAGAGCGAATTAAGATGTTTTAAGAGTATTAACTATGGAAACACATTATCACAGTCGCTGAAAAGGGTCCATTTCAGTGGCGAAATCACTTGGCAGCCCCGCCCACTGTGAAATCTTATTGGTCCAAAACCTTGCTCGTCATAAATGGATATGAAACATCAAATACATTCTAATTGCATGTGATTGTGTCACAACGCGCAGCAGTTTTGAATTGACAAATTGCTTTTCGTTGGACATTGAAGACTGCGTTACACAAATATTTTTGTCATCTCTTACCATTGGTGACGGATTTGGTCTCTCCTCTGCTTGTGACCTGGGTGAGGTATAAATCAATGGAAAACGAGAGAAAGAGAAAAAGAAACAGAGAGAAAGAATAAGATTAACATAAACACAAGCTAATGTGCTAATCAGTGTGGCTGAGCCCTTCCCAGCCCAACCGTCTGCTATTCCACTTATGCCTTCCCATTTTAACATACTTCTTTTGTGCCTGTGTGCTTCAAAAAGTCATCAGTGAAAGTGCTTGTGGCCGACATGCTGCGTGTACAATGACAGGAACATGCTTAGCATGGTTTCATACAGCGCTCTTTTTCCAGATTCACATACAAGTGAAACCCTCATTCCTTCCACTGCTGACCAAACAGCACTGCTGGCTTTGGTAACATCAGCGCGGTTATGACCACAGATTTCCCTTCATTAGGCTTTTTACATCACCATTTACCAGTCCTTTAAGTGATCGGGGCCAGAACTGCAGTCTGTGGCTAACTGCGGCCTTGGCCTGATCTTGACGCCTCGCTGACAGTCCAGAAGTAGATTCTATTGTGCCCGTTCCAAAGAAAGAGCCGCCCGCTCCGAATGACTACCATTATTATCTGTTTGATCTGTGGATATAAAAATATGAAGGCCAGCACTCGTGGGAATGGCTTTTCAGGTTCAGACGATGGGATGGGATCGACTCGAATTGGTTTCTATTCGTGATGTGTGAGCGTCTGTGTGTGTGTGTGTGTGTGTGTGTGTGTGCACGACCGCCATGTTTGGTCAACTGGATCCCAGTCATGTCGGCGTTAAAATAGATCTTCTCACAATAGGCAGAGTGCTTTGTTAAGGGGTGATGGGTGTTAAACCCATGTGTGACGGGAAAAAGAGGGAATGGAAGAGAGAGGAGAGAATGAAACTGATCCTTCGTTAAGCTCCGCCCTGCTGACCAATCCGACAAGATTTGGCTCATTTTTAATAAGTGTCTGTGGAAGTCCTGTTTATTATATTTAAATTATATATTTAATTTTAAATATTTATAATTTTTTTTTTATATTTAAATAATTTGTTAAAAAATACTTGCCAAGTCACTTATAATAGTGACACAAGCCACCCATAATTTTTTCCTTTTCCCAATGTTTAAATAAATCTTGACCTACATTTGCTTGAGGGTAAATCAATGTTAATTAATTTACATATTGATTCAGGTCATAGCAGATGCAAGTGACTAATAAGTCACAGTACCACTGTGAGCTATTACATTTGTTACAAAAATGTTATAAAAGAGGCTTTTCTCTTTTCAATTTACTGTGTTTACTGTCGTAACCGATTCTGATTCACAGTCTCCATAGTTTTTGTTCACATGACTGCATAATTATATAATTTATTTAAGGTTTTCACTTGCAAAACTTGCAATGTTATATACAAAGTGGCATATACAGGATGCTTTGCAGTATCACACTTTTTCCACTTCCATGAGCACATTCTACTGAACAATCTCATTGTTTCCAGAAAATCTCCAGTTCATTCCTATCAAACACGTTAGACCACTTGTCTGAGCGAGCAATGGAAGCTGAGGTGGGCGGAGCATAATGAAAAGTCAATTAGTGCCACAGTAGTTACTCTTGGTGACTTTAAAGCACAGTCTTCCTGCAAACCAACCACCTGCTCTCGTGGCAGTGAGCGAAAGTGCGAGAGAAGCTCTGTGAAGAAATGGAAAAAAAGCCAGGTCCTAAGCCATCCTGTGATAAATGCATTAAGTGTGGCTCATCAAACACTGTGCATTTCTGTGTGATAGAATAACATTTACCTCCTCAAGGTGGTCAGATCTGTAGACAATTAGCAAGGGGACGGCTTAAAACACAAAACACACAGGCAACGTTATGGCAATGTTATTCTCCGCGATTATACTGCAGATATCATGCTAGTGCGTGTGTTATGACTGTAACTGTCTCCAAAGTCCTAATGGCATGCCTGAAGGGTTATAAAAACCCACAGCCTGTTGTTTGGACAAATAAGTGCTTTATTAATTCATTCTCCAGGGGCATATGAAAAATGTTATGTGTATAAATAACTAAGAGAGAGAAAGCGAGTCGGGCTGATTGAGAAAAAATTGTGTTTGTCAGCGATGAAGGATTGCAGGCATGGCGGAGCAGACAGGACGTAAGAGAAAGCCTGAATAAAACCACTCCTTTAATCACTTCTATGTGATTACATGACAGAAATAGTCAAATGTACATATAAACATCAGAAATTACTCTGCAAATGCTCCTATGAATCTCTTTCTAATGTTTTCTTTAACATCTGTTTTAGTTTCCCCTTTGGATTGAATCAGTACCACTAGGTGGCGCCAGATAACAAGACTCATCACGCCCTGATGTGATGCACATAGAGTTCACGAGTGTGATGGACACAGTCAAAGACTTACCGTGGGTCTTCCTCCTGACGTCTTGCCCGTCTCTGGAGTTTTATTCAACCAATCGTTGATGCGGCCGGCCACGCCCACCTTTATCCCAGCTGCATCCTGTAGGGGGTGGAACAAAACACTCCCTTTAAGGTTAAAGTTCAGAATGTGACGTTGGACAGGAAATGGGTCCAAGAGGAAAAGTGGGGTCTGCTTCACCACCCTTCAATGTGAATGAACATCACAAACCTTGTTGGTGGACGCTGGGCTCCCACCAGAGCTGAAGACATTCCCCTTCTCCCACATGCTCTTGATGTTGCGAATACCGTCCGTCACCATGGGAAGATCTATGGCAGCTGATCTGGGAGATCTGACCTCTTTGTGGCTCTGAATGGAGAGAAGAGCAGAGATTACGCTGTGCTGTCTTCTGGTGTCCTGTGTTTAATTTAGATTTATCTTTTGCTTGTGTTCAGTTTGAGAGAGGACGATGTAGGACTCACCTGCACTGCGCTGGTGTACTGCTCTAATCGGTTATCAATCTTAGACACCACAGGACTGTGAGACGCCTTCACAGAACTGACACACACACACACAAACATCAGCACATGATGGTATTTATAAGCATCACTTTCAAACTGAAAGATTATAGATGGCAAATTAAAATGAATGGAACGATTAATGTGTGACAAATAGTTTGTGACGGACGGACGGACAGACGGATAGATAGACCACCAGAGCTGAAGACATTCCCCTTCTCCCACATGCTCTTGATGTTGCGAATACCGTCCGTCACCATGGGAAGATCTATGGCAGCTGATCTGGGAGATCTGACCTCTTTGTGGCTCTGAATGGAGAGAAGAGCAGAGATTACGCTGTGCTGTCTTCTGGTGTCCTGTGTTTTAGTTAGATCTTTCTTTTGCTTGTGTTCAGTTTGAGAGAGGACGATGTAGGACTCACCTGCACTGCGCTGGTGTACTGCTCTAATCGGTTATCAATCTTAGACACCACAGGACTGTGAGACGCCTTCACAGAACTGACACACACACACACACACACACAAACATCAGCACATGATGGTATTTATAAGCATCACTTTCACAATGAAAGATTATAGATGGCAAATTAAAATGAATGGAACGATTCATGTGTGACAAATAGTTTGTGACGGACGGACAGACGGACAGACAGACGGATAGATAGATAGATAGATAGACAGACAGACAGACAGATTGACAGACAGACAGACAGACAGATAGATAGACAGACAGAAAGAGAGACAGACACAGATAGATAGATAGATAGATAGATAGAAAGGAAAAAAGACAGACAGACAGACAGACAAACATAGATAGATAGATAGATAGATAGATAGATAGACAGACAGAACGAGACAGACAGACAGACAGATAGATAGATAGATAGATAGACAGACAGACAGACAGACTGATAGATAGATAGATAGATAGATAGATACATAGACAGACAGATTGATAGATAGATAGATAGATAAATAAATAAATAGATAGACAGACAGACAGATTGATAGATAAATAAATAGACAGACTGATAGACAGACAGATTGATAGATAGATAAATACAGATTGATTTGCACTAATAATTTAGTATATTAATATTTCTTGACAGACAGACAGACAGACAGATTGATAGATAGATAAATAGACCGATAGACAGACAGACAGACAGACAGACAGACAGATAGATAGACAGACAGACAGACAGACAGATTGATAGATAGATAAATAGACAGATTGATAGACAGACAGACACAGATAGATAGATAGAAAGGAAAAAAGACAGACAGATAGACAGATTGATAGACAGACAGAAAGATAGATAGACAGAACGAGAGACAGACAGATAGATAGATAGATAGATAGATATAGACAGACTGATAGATAGATACATAGACAGACAGACAGACAGACAGATAGATAGACAGAAAGACAGACACACAGACAGATAGATAGATAGATAAATAAATAGACAGACTGATAGACAGATTGATAGATAGATAAATACAGATTGATTTGCACTAATAATTTAGTATATTAATATTTCTTCAACAAGAAGTTATTTCAGATAGATGCATTTGGTGATGGATGGATGGGTAGACAGATTATCTCCTATTTTTGCTAAATATCTTTAATATTATTAAATAATAGTAATTATATGGGCTGTAAAGCTGTCTAAATAGTCCTGCTGCTGTTCTAGGTGAATGGTTATGTGCTAACAACAAAATTCCTGTGGATTTTTCACAATGAAAACAGTTGCTTTCCGATGTCATTGAATGTATCCTTGTTTTTATAAACTGAGGGACGAATCAACAATTGTCTGTGGTTATCAACAACGTGCCACAAATGATGTCGAAAGAGCTTAACTTGTTTTGGAAGCAGAACATTCTTTTAACCCGAAAGTACTCTGAATACTTCAGATTATTAATTGATGTAATTAATCTTATTGTTTGGATCCTTTTGGACACATTTGTGCATTGAAGTTGAACAACATGTTTTCATGAAAGGTCTGCAAGGAGTAAAAGTAGAAGTGATCACCTCTTCTGTGCTGATCTGTTGAGAAATTCTGCCCTCTCACCGATCTGGGAAGAGAAACCAAACAATGGATAGATTTAAGAAAGGTCACTGCTTTGGTCATGAGGAACACACACAGAAAAACGCACACACACACACACACAGATGCGAGCTGTCTGTCGGACTTGGCTATTCTGAGAGGCAAGAGACTAGCCTGTTCTTTTCAGTATGAAACTGTCACGGGGCCAGGAAAAGCAGGGCCCTCTCTCTGTGGGAACTGTGGCCTGTGTTTATGATATATGACAACATGGCTAAGAGGGGGGAAAGTGTTCCTGTGAAGCAACAACAAAAACCACACAGACAACACACAAACTCCCAAAAAGCATCTCGGAATAAAATCCACTTCCCCCCCTCAACTGAATGTGGGAGTTCCTAAAATCCTCCTCAGCAGGAAATTCCCCATTCTCAGGCGCGCTTGAAACGGCTCCCTGTGGCCTGTGTTTATGATATATGACAACATGGCTAAGAGGGGGGAAAGTGTTCCTGTGAAGCAACAACAAAAACCACACAGACAACACACATACACTCCCAAAAAGCATCTCGGAAAAAAAATCCACTTCCCCCCCTCAACTGAATGTGGGAGTTCCTAAAATACTCCTCAGCAGGAAATTCCCCATTCTCAGGCGCGCTTGAAACGGCTCCGTTAGAACGTGGTTACAGTAATCCTATTAGTCTAATGGTCTTTCTGTGTCCCCCCAGAGTTCACGTCTTGACGAGCGCAGCTCGGCTTTATCTCACAAAAGCACGACTGCGCCATTTTGTATTTCTGTTAAAAGATGGATTCCAAAAGGAAGAGAAGAAAAAGAACTGTCTTTGAAACCACTGACAGCAGGAAACCCATATTCAAACATGCGAGAACCAGGAAAAGAATTTGGTAATGAGATGTATGGCATCAAAAAGTACATTTACAATATAGTGATGTGATACAAAGCCAATTATTTTGATATAATCCATAACCTATATTATGGCTGAAATTACAGCGATTTAATATCATACTAATCTGTCTACCCACAGAATAGGAGTTTAAATCACACAAATATATCACACAGCATGCAATACATACAGTGTACATGATGACAAAGCAGATCTGTGAACGTATCATCTGCACATGATGAATAGGAGGAAAGGGTTTTCTTTCAGCACAGATATTACAAAATAGATAAAAATGTATGTCCCTTACAAAAAAAACATGGTAAGCATAGTTTCCACCAAAATACCATAGTTACTATATTTATTAATTAATTAATTAATAAATCAGATTGAGATCTCTCAGAGACATAGCCTTGTAGTTAGTGCATGCATATTTTTTACGTTTATAAGAGAAAGTATACATTTTAGGTTCATTACTTGTTCAAGAATTAAAATGTTATGTTATATTATATTATATTATATATACAAGAACAATATAATATAATATAATACTTGCATATCTAAAAACACATAAATAATTATTCAAGAATTTAAAAATGTTTGATATACATTGTTGTCATTACAATTATATAAATCATAAAATGTATAAAAATCATAAAATGATCTCATTCAGAAAGATTTTTATGCTTAATTACCTTTTCTGAGGACAGAAGTGGCTAACATCAAATTACCTTCTTTTTTCGTAACACTTTTCAATAAGGTTCAATATGTTAACATTAGTTACCCACATTAGTTAACATAAACTAACAATGAAAGATACTTCTAAAGCATTTATTAATCTTAGTTAATGTTGATTACAACATTTACTAATACATTATTAAAATCAAAAGTGGCATCTATTAATGCTATTTAATAGACCTGAGCTAACATGGGCTAACAATGAACTGTATTTTTATTAACTAATGTTAACAAAGATTAAAGGGGTCATATGATGCTTTTTTAAAGATCATTATTTTGTGTATTTGGTGTAACAGAATATGTTGACATGCTTTAATGTTCAAAAAACACATTATTTTTCAAAT